CTTTCACACTCATTAACCCCCTATGTCTTAGTGGCTTTTATCGCTTTGCTTAAAAATAATATAATCCTTGTTAATTTTGTTTGTAACTTATTAACCTTTTAAAGTTTTCTTGTGGTTGATTTTTTAGGTAAAGTCTGAGATGGATAGCATTAGTCTGGAAACTAATCATCGAAAAGAAGAATTGGAACTTCTCAGCCAATCTGTACAGAAAGAGCGTCAAGAACTCAATCATCTCTCAATGGAAAGATCAGCTTTAGAAACTCAAGTACAACACCTTTCTGATGAACGAAATCTCTTGACAGACAGCAATAAAAAATTAGACAACCAATTAAATGCCATGAAAAAGTGAGTTTTTTTTTTATTGTTGTATCTTTTAATGCAGGATAAATAACCTTCATATGTGTGTTTCTTTAGTAGATGTTCTCAATCTGTCGCTGTCCTGGTATGATAATAAACTAAATCTGACAGCAATACCCATGATAAGGAGGTTTTGAGGAGTGTGAAATCATCTCTTAATTGCTGTTGTTCCTAGATCCACCCTCACCCAGGGTGGTAGCACCAGTTAGGGTCCCAACTATGGGCAAATAGTGAACCCCAGACAAAAATAAACAGTACATTTTTATAATAAAATGGCCAACAATACATTTTTAATAGCAAAATGACAATCAATGCAACACTAAAAAAGATTTAAATAATTTTATTGCAAAATAGCCAATACATTTTATTATCTACAAAATGTATATCTCAAAAAACATACCTTTACTCTGAAAGTGTAAAATTATTTACAAAATATGTAGTTGAAAGTATAAAATTATGTCCAAAATATTTAGAGTTCAGCATTAAATAACTCCTAGAGGTTGATATGCCACCAAACAAAATCAACTCACTAACCAAGACAACCAACATGAAAGAACTCTTTCATATATAATATCTTACAATTTCTTAAAAATCTAACTGTATTCCAAAATATAACTTCAATAAAACTATGACATAAAACACACACAAATCACTGCCTCCAGTAATCATGTCCACACAAGCTTGTATATTCACAAAAGCTGAATATCATTTTATTATGTATTTAATTGTGAAAGCTGAATAATGTATATCATATTTTTATTACTTTAAAGCTCCCAAGAAAATTAAATTTTGTCAATAAATAACCGATAAGATGTTGATATGCCGTTAAACAAATCAAATAAAAAAAAATCAATCTCTAGACTGTTTGACATTAATTTCACTGTTTAAAAAAAATCAAACACATGTATTCATTAAATGTAATGTTTTCTATTAATAAGAAATAATTGCTTGAAAAGGGTCCAACAGTTCATTAATGAAACCATAGATAACACACATTTAGGATTTGATTATAGTGGTAAAGACTTGTTAAAACAGCCACACTTTTAGGAAAGACTGATAACTGAGTAATGGGGCATGTAGTCCCCAAAACAGACCTCTTCAAACTTATATTCAGAATTTTCATTTTCCTAGACTGGCTGCCACCCAAGGCATGAGAGCTCAGTCTGCCCTACTGGCTGGAAAAAGAAGCTATCTGAGTGGAACTTCTTCCTTACTAAAGGAATACAAAGGGAATGAGGATAGTTTGACACCATATATATGGCATGGCATATATAGGAAGCATGGTGGAGTAGTGGATAGCAACTTGGATTGAGGAACTGGAGAGCAAAGTTTGAATTCCAGTTGAATCCATTACATTCACTTGTGTGCTACCCTTGGGAAAGGTATGAATCCTCTTCTTCTCCTTCCAGCTATGGGTAAATAGCAGGACAGACTGGGTTCTATAGCCTTGGTTGGCAACTGCAAAGGGTTGTTTGGGGACCTTGTAGCACATAGTGCACCAAGTCTCTGTATTCAGCCCTTCAAAAAGTGTGGTTGATTCTGCACAAAGCCTTTACCACTATAATCAAATCATATGTGCTAGTGTCTGGGCTGCAAGTAAGTACAATTATTCCATCTTCAGTCAAGACTTTTTGTACTAAACTTCTTCCTTACCAAAGGAATATGAAGGGGATGAGGATAGTTTGACACCATATATATGGCATGGCATATATAGGAGGCATGGTGGAGTAGTGGATAGCGGCTCAGATTGAGGAATTGGAGTGGGTTGTTTGGGGACCTTGTGGCATGTAGTGCACCAGGTGTCTGTATTCGGGCCTTCAAAAAGTGTGGTTGGTTCTGCACAAAGCCTTCACCACTATAATGTGCTGGTGTCTGGGCTGTTGGTTCCTAGGAACTGAGCTGCTTGACCCTCATATGTCAAATATGATGGGAGAGTCCACCATATGACATGGCAGATACCAGTCGTGAAGGTCTGAACTGGTGGAACTAAGGAATGTAGTTTGTTTGTATATGTGTCATAGTAATGACTTCCTCCTTTACCAATAGAATACTTATGATACTTGTCTGTCAATCAAATATTTATTACCAATCAGCATCTATTTCAGAGCATCTTTTAAATGTGTATCCATGATAGTTTTTTGTTTTTATTAAATTTGCTGGTTAGATATTGTAAACATTTCAGCATTGCAGAAATGAAACAGAAGACTGAATACTTTTTGTGGATTTTTTAATTAATTTTTTTCTTTCTTTCAACTTTGTTTTTATTTTGCTACAAGTTGTGTTTTACCTACAGCCACAGTTTTAACAGAATTTATTAAAATATTTATTTTGTTTTGATTTCTTTTCATGTTTAACCCAAATCTCTTACAATTAAAGGGAACTGAATCAGATTGAGAATAAAATTAGAGAGAGTAAGAAAAGTGTGGACATGATGCAAGTTGAAATTCAAAGCAAACAGAAAAATATTGAAAATTGCCAGAATACAAGAGATCAACTTGATATAGGCCTTCAGGACCTTAAAAAAAGATTTCAAGGTAAGTTTATTAAAAAAAAAAGAACATGAACTAGTCATTAAGTTTAATTATTAATAGAAAGCATACAATCTTCTGATTCTTACATTCTATTTCCCCAAAGACTAATTAAAGTAAGATAATTTAATAAACTCATTAATACTTATATATGTTTGGAAAACCAAAAGTCAAAAAAGTTTCAATTGAAAGAAAACAGGAAAAAGAGAAAAAGAGAGAAAAGGTAAAACCCCAATAAGGAGTATGTATAAAGTAAAAAAACAAAAAAAACAAAAAAAAAACAAACAAATAAGCATGACACTCTACACATACACATATGCTCACATGGGTGCACGCACACAAATGCACACATGTATGTACACATACACTATGAACAAAAAACCAACTTGAAAAGTGCATGTAAAAAGAAAAATAAAGAATTATAAGCAGTCAATTGCTGATGAGAGGACAGAGTAATTCCAGGAGATTCTGTCTACGAAACTCTGGAGTCTAGAAGCTTAAGGTAACATCAATCAGCTAAGTGACAAACCTTTTACTTTTATTAATTTTATATAAATATATATTATAATGGTTTATTCTGTTTCTGAGTGTAATACTACTTTAACCAAGATCTCTTTCTGATTCAAAAATAAATTTCACTAGACATGTCAGGTGGATGTCAGCACTAAGAAAGCAAAACCCAAAATAAAAAATTTGTCTCCTGCATAGTGGCTCCAAACATCACATCCAGTCCACAAAACAAATCTCCACAAAAATCTAAAATACAGTAGTCAATCTTGAATGTTACCACCTAAAAAAAAAAATGAGCCTGAGTGGCAACACCTGTTAAACCACAGATATAAAAACAGCATACTTCACCAACGACAGGTAGTTTGGCTCAACACATTAACCTAATTACATAACCACTGGCCCATACACACCTCACCCTGAAGATAGATAGATCATCCTCACCAATGACACCTACTTGTGCTACCATGCAATTTTCACTAATCCATTCCAGGTCTTTTCCCTGTCACCAACCGTGATTCAATCAACTGATCCACTACCCACACCTGGCCTTACCAACAACACCCTTACACTTAATAGCTTCCCTTACCAATGGCTGCATATCAACAATCTTTTCATACAATTATGTATATATTCTGAAAATTGGTCAATACACACCTGAGACTTTAATCCTTGTTTATTATTTCCTTTGCAACTATATGCTTGTTATAATATATATAATATATTTGCTATTATTACAAAGCAAAAAATGGCATATTGTAGCAAGATTTCTGTTAAGACCTCTTCAACTGCTTCAAGCTAATGATCAATCATAATCTATCCTCCTTATCTTCATAATCTTCACCAAAGCCTGTGGTCCATGGCAAGGACCACACTTTTTTGAACCTTGTGAACAGGCACTATAGAATTACAAAGAACTGTACCAAATAACAGAAACAAGATTAGTTGAATGCTTTCAACATCAGCAACAGCTAAAATGGATATCACATGTAACTCAAAGAGAAAATAATGACATAATTAAGATGCTGACATTCCACACTACTTCAAATAAAAGGTTAGGAAGGAAATCTCCATCAATACTAGAAACTGATAAAACTTGAAAACTTGAAAAACCTATTTTTCAGAAAAATCGTTTTAAAAGAAAGATTATATAAATTGAAAACTAAAGCAGTACTCTCTACTTGGTCAAGGAATGCTGAATGTTTCCTCATAAGAAAATGTCTAATATTACCATTACCTTTAGTACAACTTCTTATTTTCATATCACCTCATTCAATAACCCTCTACCTTGAGTGGCTCCTTACATGTACTCTATTAAAAAAAGCAAGTATTTTTGATTGATTTGTTTGCTACAGCTTATCAAACCTTTGCAGATTATTTAAACTCAGAAAATATTTTTAAATTTTAAGAATTTTTTTTTAAGATCATAATAATTTAGTGATACAAGTCTTACTAATTAACCCATAGCTGGGAGAGAATAGGTGGATTCATACCTTTCCCATGGGTATTTGTATGTAAGTGAATATAACAGATACAATGGGAATTGGAAATCGGCTCTCTGCTTAACAATTCTGAGCCATTATCCATTACACCACCCACACATCCAAGCTTACAGCACCCAGTATTCCCAAACGGCCACCCATCTAGATACTGACCAGATTTAGCATTGCTTAACTTCAGTGATTGTATGGGAATCGGTGTTTTAATGTGATATGGCCATAAAACTAAGTATTTTTCTAGTTTCACCTTTTATTTATGAACATATAACTTTAATGAAATTAAATACAATTCATTTGATATTTTGCCAGATGAACAGGAAGAATATTCCACCCTTCAAGCCTTAATTCAAAAGACTCAAACAGAAGATATTAAGCTGAAACAGGTGCGTTCATTTTGTATTTTGACATTGACTCTGATTTCAACATTTGATTAATAAGACATTGGGGGTGAAACATTAGTCACCATAACCATTTACTAGGTATTATATTAGGATTGGATTTCCATTTCCTTTCAAAATTTACTATACTTCTGACATCTCCATCTGAACTCTGAAATTTTATTTATTAATATTTTTTCTCCCCAATAGGAATAGATAAGTTCCTTCATGTTTTTTTTTAACAAGAGTAGAAGTTTATTCCTTGTTTCTTGTTTAGGATTGGATTTCAGGTTCCTTCTAAAATCTACTTCAACTGTATACTTCTTACATCTTCGTCTAAACTCTGAAATTTCATTTACAAATTATTTTTTTCATCCTCAATAGGAGTAGATATGCTTTCCCATCATCCAGTTCACATGCCTCCCCCAGTCTTTTGAACAGGAGTAGAGGTTTATCCTTTGTTTACTGATTAGGATTGGCTTTCTGGTTCTTTCTAAAGTCTACTTCAACTCTATATTTTCGTCCTCTTCTTCTTAACTCTGAAATTTTATTTACTAATTATTTCTTTTTTTTTTCTCCTCAATAGGAGTTTGCCTATTGTCTAATTCACATTCCTCCCCAGTCTTTTTATTGCTTGTTCCCTGTTTAGGATTGGGTTTTTAGTTCCTTCTGAAATCTTTTTATTCTTTTACACTCCCAGCAGCCACTTGCATCTTAGTGGCATTGTTGCCTTGCTTGGGGTGGTTTGTTTTAAATAAAAGGTAAAAGAATGACAAAGTGGAAAAATAGTGTGTAATGCGTTTCGTTCTCTAGAACTTCATCAGACTAAAATAATGTTTTTGTTGATGAAATTATGTGTAGGAAGCACAAGTGTCAGTTATGATTATGCACTGATAGGAAATGCTGAAGTTTTTTTTATATTTTTATTTTAGATGTGACTTGGCATGTAGTCGATCTAATTTCATTTAGTTTCCTTGTGCTTCTGTTTTTGTCTTTACCATTTTTGTTATTAAAACATCCCACTTTGTGATAATAGAAGATCTGCCAAGAAAGATGAAATGTTGAAACTATGTGTAAAAAAAGATGCAACAATAATGTTGTTGTCATACATGAAAATATATAATATTATATATTTGTCACATATTCTATCAGCCATATATTCTTGTGTGGATATTAGAAACTCCTATCCCTCTGGGGTGGATGATTATATATCTGCCTGTCATACAGTTTTTCCCATGTGTGCATATCTTAGGCACAGCTGAGTTGACCACATGTTTACTTACAGTGATCAACCATTCACAGCTGGTGAAGTGCAGAAATGTACTCAGGGCCAGGTCATCAATGTGACCTACTGATACACCTGGCTTCTTTGAAGTATGCTGAATGCAAAGTCTATTTTGGCATCATCTAAGGTGAGTCACATATTACACAAGTGAATGTAACATGTTCAACTGGAATTCAGATTTGGTTCTCTGATTTTCTCATTCTTAGCCACTATCATTACACCATCTGCACATCCACCCATTTATACAAAAAGGGAGGTAATATTAAACTAAAATTTGTAGTTGTTTCTTTTTTCTTCAATACATTTTTGACAATTTATACAAGGGATTTAATGTGCATGTGTTTCTAACAGACATATACAGTTTTCAGATATAAGCTTCAGAACAACCTGCTAAAAGTGACAATGATGAAACTAAAAAATTAAAAATTAAATAATTTTCCATAAAAGCAGTTAATGATAAATCTGATTACATAAAGTTTTTAATACATTTTGAACATTTATAAAATTATCAAATGTATATATATATATATATATATATATATATATATATATATATATATATATAAAAAAATATAAAAAAAAATCGTGAAAACAAAATATTTAAATTATAATGAGCGTAAAATTTAAACACAATTCTCCCATGATTTTCTCTCATACATTCAGTTATATATGCTCAATGCATATCAAATATAAACAAAAACGTCATTTGTTTACATTTGCAGGATGAAGAATGAAATTTGAAAAAATCATGGTGAATTGTTTAAAAAATTTTTTAAAATTAACCTTCTTAACCTTTATTCCTCTGTGGCCCAACATTTTTAAGGCATGTCAGGCTATGTGATGGTTCCATATAGGATACAGGTTCGATTTCTGTTGGAGGACGCATATTTTCTATGAAAATTCAGGCTGGTAAATGTTGTTAATACAGTTTATTATAAACAGAGCATTTTTTTAAATATTTTATATCTAAAAAAGAATGTATAAACATAAAAAATTGTCAAAAAAATAATTTTTCAGGACTTTGTCCCATTTCATAATGTATGATGTCATATATATATATATATATATATATATATATATATATATATATTATTATATTATATATATATTTATATACATATTATATTTATATATATATTATTTTATATATATCATATTATTTATATATTATATATATATATATGAAATGGATTTTTCATTTATTAATCCAACATATTTTAATTTATTGCTTAAAAGTTATTTTTAATGAATACCCATATTTGAATAGATGCTCTGTTTTTATTTATTTATTAAACAGTATATTTATTTATTTCCATCTAACAGCCTGAATATACAAGAAATCTTCTTAGAAAAATATAATTTTAATTTCTAAGTGTGTTCATTGAAAGGTATTAAAATTTAAATAACTTTGATATTTTTATGTAAATTACAAGCTGACTAAATTTTATCTTAATTTGGTTTCTTCCTAGTTTGGAAATTGTATTTCATAATAAATTTTAATCAAAATAATATTTATTTTGTTTGAATTTGGTCAATTTGTTTCAAGTTGTTTTAATGTGTCTATCATAATTTGATAGTACATTTTTTTTATCAAATTTTAATTTATATAGATTTTCATAATTATTCATGATGCACATGTTATAATCAGTACAAGTTGCTATTAAAACTAACATGTAGGAAGTTACTTGCAATATCAATTTATATCTTGTTAAAGTCTTGTTACATTCTATCTCAAATTAGATCACTTTTTGATTCACTTTAAATGTCAATGGGATGTGGACGTCTAATAAATCAAAACCAAAAACGAAAAAGTTGTCCTCTGTGCAGGGGCATCAAGCATCACATCCGGCTCATAAAACAAATCCTCTCAAAAAAATATAAATTGCTATATAAAAGGAGCCAATCATGAATGCTGCCACCAAAGAAAAAACATGAAAAAAATGATGTCATGATTCAGCTGATCTGCTTTTAAGAACATTGCCGACAGCACTATAGGGGAGTTGCAGTAAACAAGTAAGTTGTCAATGTCACTACAAGTGATATCAGTCAACCAACCCAACACACACATCAAAGCCCTACCAAATCTACCCTTCCTCCAAGTCACTTCCCTTGCCCACAAAGAGACAATCCACTTATATCCTCTGTATTGGCAATACAAAGAATTATACTTATATTAACAATTCTTGTTTTCTTTCTTTTATTGCTTTGCTGGTGGTACTTGTTGTTTCATTTGTTCTCTTGTGCTACCATAAGCACATTTATAACAGACTGAAGATTGCTATTTAATAAGCCTTTGTATCTGGAAGGATTAACTCTTCCCTGTCATGTGTGAGATAACTCATCTTAGCAATTTAGCAGGATCAGTTTAGTGCCATAGATGAGATAACTTGTCATACAGTAGTGTATTATTTCTTTCACTAGATGGTAGTTTATCTTTGTGCAAATAAAGGAAAATTACATATTTACTTAGATGCTATGAGGACTAGTGAATGTTTTCAAAACTATAAAGTTTCTTTTTTTTTTCATTTCACCTCAAGCAAGAAAATAAAGCCACTAGGATGCTAAAGGATACTGAATGATAGAAAATATGAGAAAAACTACTATTAAGGAGAGAGAACAAGAACTAAGAAGACAGAAGATAATGATTGATATTGCATTTAAATCTTTGAAGAATTTGTGTAGATTCATGTTTTAAAATGTTCCATAGTTTTCTAAATTATTAAAATATCTGGGTAGTTTAATATGACAAAATAGAAAATACTGTACATGACATGTTTCAGTTTTTGAAAGGACTTCTTCAGACTAAATAATGTTTTTACTGATAGAATCATATATATGTAAAGAGAAGGAACAAAATATAACAACTGTCGATTATAGTTATATATTGAGAGAAACACTTAAATTTAAATTTTAACATCCAGTGTGTTGAGAAAAAACACAGTGTCATTAATAAACTTTTTGTTTTTCATTTTTTTTTTTTAAACACATGTATGTTGACATTAAATCTATTAAACATCTTTCTATTAATTGATTGGCATGAAAATAAAACAGGTTTTAAAAATGCCATGAAGATATTCTATTTTAATCAGATCTTTTTAGGAGAAAATCCCAAACTAATAGTAGTTCTTCTTCTATATGCTGTGTCCCTTCAGTAATCATGGCTCTCCACAGCTTCCTATACCTTGTGACCCATAACAGCATTTCTCTCATTGCCAAGCCTCCTTCCCTCCATTTTGCCATCCATTATCATAAGTTTGTCAGGTTGGTGGTCCACTGCCTTCCAATATCTCACTTGCCCTGAATATGCCCTGTAAGGGTCAAGTTCTCCATGTCCTCATTCCTCATTATGTGCTTAAGAAACTGCAGCTGTCTTCTTTCTGATTCTGAGTATGTGTTCTTTTTGTTACCGTTTTCTTTAAGTCTTCCTTTCTCTGGCCATGGAATTCTCATCATCCTTTTGTAGAACCATATTTCTACTGCCTCCTGTTTTCTCTTCATCTGTGGTGAAATTGTCTAGAATTCACTGCCAACCAAGAGGATTGATATCACATAGAAGTTC